CAATCGCGGAACGGAGAGAATGTGTCCCGTGACGGCGCGACTATTCCGGAACGAGAGTGAGTTCAAGTAACGGAGCCGCGCGGAGAGCCAACCGGGAGGGAATTTTAGGGAGAGGACGATAATGAACCAGCGGAACTCTCGAGAGTACCACGCGTACGTAGGTCACCGCGTGACCTAGTTGTTACCACCGATGACACCGATGACACTCCGACCGGGTCAGAGCCGGCGCATAATAGAACGTTGCATTATTTCCCGCCGCGAATATATAGAGCGTTCGTCGCTGTTAATCGATAAGCACGATAACGGGGAGATCGAGGGAAATAGTACGATTAAATCTGCGATTTAATCTCGGACATTGTACACCTATGGACGATGATTCGTCTTTCCCTGGGTCTAGTGAAATAAGTCCGAAAGATACTTATCCTGTTTTATCTAAAGAAATCATTACACAAAGCTCTTATCAGACTGATACTGGGTATTAGGATTGCGAATTAGAAATCGAAACTGGATGAAACATGTGGTTTCGATCTTGGCTCGTGTCATCCCGGTTGGCCAAGTGTTAATTTTCGATAATCTAATTTAATTTTTATATTCTTCTCAGGTTTACAGGAACATTCTTCTTAGGTTTATTTTAGGTCAGATTAAATCTGGATTGGGTAAATTAGTTTTTACCTTTATTTTTAACTTTTATTTTTAACTAAATTATGTAGGAAAAAAGTTAAAAGTTTGTGCCTTATAAAATTAACTTAGTCAAATTAAAAATTACCTAGACCAAAACTGGTTTAATTAAAAATTAAATTAATATTAAATTAATTTATTAAGGTTAACAGTTAATTATGCAAGACCATGTATATACATATATGTATGTGCAAATTTTTGCTAAATAAAAAAAGTAGTTTATTATGAAAAAATACTGACTGTTTTGTGTTCAGGACTCCAAAAAAATTATGTTGGCATTATTTTCTATTTTTTTTATTTTATATTGTAAATAACTCGCACTATTGAAGGAGAGAGAGAGAGAGAGAGAGAGAGAGAGAGAATTATTTTAACTTATATAAAAATGTTAACAAGTTAAAGTTAATGGATTTTCAACTAGTTTAAGTTGAAAGTTGGTTCATTTAAAATAAAGTTAAAAATTAACTTTTTACTTCTCTTTTTAATTTAACTTTTAATTGAATAACTAATTATTAAGTTAAAACAAGATAAGCATCTTCTAAACTTGCTTCACTAGATCTAGAGAAGGACACGATTTTCGAGCTTGTCGCTCGATATTCCAAATATAAATTTCAAATGATTCCTGTAACGGGCAATAAATTACAATAGATACTAGTCACTTGCTCGCGCGTTATCTCGTAGTCGTTAAAATGACTAATATCTCGCTAAAAATAGCGCGAAAAGCGATGGCCGACCGCGCAACGTCTGTTAGACGATACCGATGGAAAGAAACTGACGACGCAACGCGGACCTGTTCCCGCGTTCCTCGCCTAAAAGTTCGGAAGCGCGAGCACTTTCGGAAGCGCGTTCTCGTTATCAGTGAAAGTCGTCCGTTGCAAACGCGCATGTAAATGGCACGAATCCTTTCGATGTTGGAGAAGCGACCCGACAGCTTTCCATTTCTGCCGCTCGTAATTTTGCTTTCAGAGATACAACGATGCAACAACGATCAAGTTGAATTAAGTTAAATTCGCTCGTCGACATTTGATGTATGTTTAACAAAATCTTCGATCCTTCGAGACGCGTATTGAAATCGTCCAAGTTCGAGTATGACTCAGGGATGGCAACAGAAGTGGCGAAATCGTCGATAATGACGTTTGTTTACGAGCAATTCCAAACGAATTTCGCTTATCGCGAAATATGTATTACCGGAGATACTCGTGATCTTCGTCTTGATATTTCCGAGATAAATTTCTTTTACAGGCCGACAAAGGAGGGGCAATATCTTATCGCAATTATCGCACATATTCTCTCAATTTATGAGAATGAATGTTAGACCGATGACGATTCACGCGAATCACGTGTGCGGTGAAATAAAATTATTGTCCCTCGGACAATAAATTAGTCATCAAGTACTCACTCGATTGTTAGGTCGTTGAATTCCTCGGAAATGCTGGACAAGTTGTCGCATGACCGGCTGATTAAAGAGACTAGCGAGTGCAATATCCCCGCATCATTTCTGAAACTAGAAAGATTAGGTGTCATCAACGACAACACGTTCAGGAAATTGCCATTTAGCCGGTGACAATAAAATTACCTGATGAATGTTAAAATTCAACGAATGAATAATTACGAGATGCCGCGAGTGAGCCAACGGGACTTAATCGCTGATGAGATTCGGGAACACGTAGAAATTATCACGACAGTCGGGACGACCATCCGTTTCTAAGGATTTTCTCGATCTACTCGTACATTCATTTCAGCTTTTACGGCGCCGCTTATGTTCATTTAATGAAATACGCCCTCGTCACTCCGTGGAACAATTCACGAAATGCCGTAAGCGCGTCCACCCTTCGCTAATTTTAGCTCTTACATAACACGCGTCCAGTGCTCGAGTGAGTTTAATTGGTGCTCACATGGCTCCTCGGATAGAATGAACTCGTGAGCGGTCTATCTAATGGGCGTCTTCCATTCGTGACAATTAATCGTGGAAAGTATCCAATCACGTTTCTCGGCGCTCGCGCAAAACGCCATATTACGCGGCGTAAAATGAATGTGATATCGAACGGTAAATTGAATTATGGAAGACGCTAAGTCACGGCGTGCCTTTTGAACGTTAAAAACATAGAACTGCGCGAGTAGCTTATAGACAAGGTCGCGATAACACCGACGACCTACTTCCAGAAGCGCAGTAGTTTAGAATAAATCTAAAACGTAAATAAAGTTAACGGGAAGACAAGTGGGTTCACCGTCGACTTTTTCTTTACGGGAGACCGCGAGTATTTTTATATAAATATATAAGGAAGGACAAAGCCTCTCCTACGTACAACGTCGATTAAGGGCAATGATAACTGCAATATGGTGCAACGCCACTAATCAGCGATGGTCAGGCCTCCCGATAAAACGCAACCCCGAGGTTTCTGGCACAGACACTGAACTGTCTTGTGCAATTAACTGAAGTGCCCTGTAGAGTTCGTCTCGACGGTGCACTATAAGCGACCGCGTTGGTCTAACAGCGATAATCACCGTGACGTATCGATGTTCTCCTTTGACCGGCTATTTCAAGGCAATCGCGGCGCACAACCCGAACACAACGCCACAAATTTATAAACAATGAGATTTACTCTCGCGATCGACTTAAAAATTCTGCTCACATTAAAAATCGAACAGAACGGTCAGAATGTCTGCGTTTTTACGGCATCATTCCGGATTTCGACAAACGAAAATATATGTATGGCACAAAAGAAGGGAATTCATTATTTCTTTTCCTTTTTTTATAAAATACAAACATATGTTTCAAAAATATGTTTTCATAAGAAAGAAAGAAATTAATTATTTCCTTTCTTTTTAATATAAACATCTCAAAATTAGAATATATTTCGATAAGAAAGAAGGAAACAAATTACGTCCTTTCTTTTTTGCATCACACGCTATCTAAGCGAACCGCGAAACCGACAAGTCAACGTGAACTTGCCGAGCAAATCGTATCGTAATCACACCAAGGTCGTCGCTTCGATTTGCAAAAAATGCGAGTCGTGAATCTATCTACTTAGTCGGCATCGTAGTTTTTTCACAAGATACTCACGACCGATCGGACATTTCCCGCGAGTTATGGCGAATGACAATCCTACTTACACCTCATTATCTTCGGGAGACGACATCGCCAACAGCATTCGTCAACGCAAACGGCTCCACTGACAATGAGTAAGTAAGTTGACCCTGCCCACGTATTAAGAGCACCGCACTGTCACTGCCGACCATTACTACTCCAATAGAGCGCTCTTCGTGCGTTTATGCAGCACTTACACAAACCGATAAGACGTTTCGGTCTGATAGCAGGCTTTGTATAATTTCTCGTTCAAGTGAGAGGTATATCAGACGTACATACGTTTCTATCACATATACGCGCGCGCGCGCACACACACAAAAAAGCATGCACTTGCTCATCGATATCGAGCGGTCGGAACGAGTGAATTAAGGGTAAGGATGCGGAATTATGCATGCGTGGCAAACTAGGTACACTTTAAATATGTTACGAAGGAAGTGAAATGTAGAGCGCGCCGTAACTACCTTCGCGACGGCGACGACTTGGAAAGCGTTGATCGAGAAATAGATGGCCGCTTCCTTTTACGATCCTCCGAGCGCGAATTTATCAATCCCATTCGGAATATTCGCGTAGTTTTTCCACACTGGCCGCAAATATGTACTCTTATCTACGAGGCCAGTATCGTCGATCTGTCGATTTCTAACGTAGCGTGATAACGATAACGGAACGCCGCCGAACTTTTCACACCACATTGAACTTTGAATCGCACGCAGATACACGTAATATTCACATTGTGTTCGCTCACTCGGCCAGCCAAATTAAACGAACGGAAACGTGAAAGTCTCTTTTTTTTGTGCTGAGCCTTGGTCAATTAATCTCCGTATTGAAAGAGGTGATTTTCATTTCAGCTGTACTGTACTGTTAAACGATTTCGCAAAATGTTTCACGAAGTATGCCAAAATGGAGGTTGTACTGGGGAACATCTCTCTTTCGCGTTTGTGTGATATAAAATTTACAAGACGTGTACAGACGAAATCTAAGGGGGAGATTATTCGTAAAATCACGTAAAGAGAGATTAAAACTATCTTCTTCGATTGGTAGTTAGATGAAATTTGAAAACCTCTCACCTCGTTCCTGTTTTATTACTGCGAGTTTCTTTTTACGTGGCTTTCGGAAACGCTGAGGCGGAGCGACTAATTCAAACGGGGTTGAAATTCTGGTACTTCACGGAGAGATGGAGCCAGCAGTCGGAGTAACCGACTGACCGGCTGATTGTATAGGTTAAATGCCAGTTCTAACCTAACAGTCTTAAACGGTGGCACGTGTGAGACGCACGTGTGAAAAATGGCCAAGTCGTTGCGAAGTAAGTGGAAAAGGAAATGCCGAGCGATTAAGAGGGAACGTTACGCGGCAAAGGAGCTGGACAGGTTGAAAAAGACCCTCGGCACCAACGAAAAAGCACCCAACGACGTGGAAATGACTAACCTCGAGGAGATCGCCACAGGTAAAGCGTTGCGTTGTCGCATTGCGGAAATATTACTGTTACAAGTACTACACATCATATGTGTATACCGTAATGTAACAAAATAACATGGACTAATTGCTTTGTTTTCGTTTTCGGAAACCAATAGTTGTAGATGCAAAGAAGATAAGAAAAGATGTCAGGACTAAGCGGAATGCCGTGACCACTGATGAAGATCAAATGGAAGTGGAAGAAGCTAGAGTGTATGATAAGAAAACATTGCGCGATCAGTACGGCAATTATCCTGTATGGATGAGCTATAGGAAGATACTTAAGCATAAAAAAGGCAGGGCTAAAACACAGAAAGCTGATGCAAAGACCAGCAAAAGGCTCACCAGACGACAGAAAAAAGCATTAAAGGGGAAGAAAGCGACAAAAGATTAGGTAAATTAAGGTAGATTACAGACTTTAAAGTGAAACAAGTATACCATCTAACATTGGAAGAAAAAAGGGAACCAAGTTCCACAACAACTCTAAATCAGTTAAACACAACAAAGACATAATATCAAAATCTTCTCCATAAATTGTCAAATTAGCTTACATATTATTTGTTAACGGTTAATGTTAATGTTGTATCACACATTATTTCCTTTGAAACCTGAACGAGTCTAAGAGGATATGATTGAAAACATGGAATCCGTGTCATTTTATTACGAAGCTGAGAGTAGAAATAATAATCACATACAATATTTAACCGTTCGAGTGCCAAGAAGCGTGATCGCATTTTTCTTATATCAGACAATCCGCAACGAGCATTATCGCACTTTTTTCTCTTAATTCGTATTCTCGTGATGATTGCACCTAACATTCGACAATTAAAATACCGCTACATTACGAGCCTGAAATATAACAAACGCTAAGTGATGGCAGTGATGTTATCTCACGTTGGGAATACTTGCTCGTGTATCTTATGGCTAGAATTACGCCAGCATCTTGAGACTAAGACGACTTGTAACTCGAAAGTATCCGGACGGACGTTCCGTGTACGAATGCACATGATATCTTTTTATATGCACATCTCTAAGAGCGACGTTAATTATTAACGGACTTAAGACTCGGATTCGAAGGCGTCGTTATTCATTCGCAACACTCCGACAGTACGAAAAAATTCATGGTAAAAATAATACTATTATTGTCTACTATTAATACTTGGAAGAATAGTGACACACCGACGATCTACTACCACAGTACAGAGTAGCAAATAATATTTGCTACTACTTGCCGTCACTGTCGAAGATCGAACGTAGTTACCGCGTGGCCCTAAAAATTCAATGACCCGCTAATTGGCACTGGCGATCTGCAGCGTAATCTCAGACGACTCTCGAGGTCCGCTACGCGGTTCATCAGATGCTGCATCTTTCTCATTTCCACCTCGTACTGCTTCATCTTGCTTCTCATGTCGTATACTTCCTGTTGCATCAGTTGCTGAAACAAATAAAGTCATTGTAATCCGCGCACGATGTGTATGTGCAAATAGATATTTATTTAATGCTTTCCAAATACCACGTTCTCGACGGTTCTCCTCATCTCGTTGACACTCTCGACGGCTAGTGTGACTTTGGTATTCATTTCCGCGGTCTCCGTATCTCTCTTCCTGTTTCTGGCCACTTGCTGCGGAAATGAAACGTTTTCTCACCGACCACACAGAAGAAAATAGTCTCAAATCAGTGATAGATATTCTCATATACAGGGTGTTCCTTAAGTCACTCAGCCATACTCAAGAAGGTGATTCTTTGATTTATTTCAAATAAAAAAGTTCATATAAACGTGTATCCTGAACGGCTCAATTTCCGAAATACAGAGTGTTTAAGTTTTTCGGAAAATGTAAATGTCACACAGACTTAAGATATTTTATTGAAACATAATCTAAGCATATAATACATCAGAGTTGATATTTCAAAAATATGATAAGCAAAAAACCAAAAATTAGAAACAAAACAATCAAATAAATTGTTACAAATTACTACCTTTCGCTATGAAACACCCTTCGATCCTTCTTCTCAAAGATTGACATACGCTCAAAGATACCAGATGTATCGAAGAACTGAAGCCTGCTTTTGTATTTTTCTTTGCTGCTGTTTTTGTTTTTACGACTGGCACTTCAGATAGATTATTACCACATGTTTACATTTTTTTGAAAACACCTTGTATTGTGGAAATTAAATCGTTTAGAACATATGTTTATATAAACTTTTTGTTTGAAATAAACTGAAAAACCACTTATTCGAGTATGGCTTGGTACTCAAGGAATACTCTGTATAAACAAGAATGTTATTCTTAGAAGATTTTTAGTTTTGAATTGTGTGCAAATAATACTCGCATCAATACAAATTCAATAAAATCAAGATTAAAAATGTTCTAAGGAGGCTGTAATATTCCTGCTTATGTATGAGAATATTTATCATTAATTTCAGACTAATTTTTTCCCTGCAAACACCAAATTGGCATGATTGATCTACCTTTTCCAGTTTGGTCAGTCTCTTCAAGATTATCTCGTAATCTTGTGCATCGTCACCCACCTCGTTTTCGGTATCTGCGATTTAATAATAGCGCTCCGTTATTCCATGATAAATTTAATTTTCGAATAAATATCGTTGTAGAATATGTTTCTTTATACATACCGTGAGAAGAAGTCGTCGGTCTCGTTGCTGACACACCGTCGTGGAAATCACTCTCCAAGTCGCGCGCCTCAAACGCGTTCTCGTCGGTGCCTGTAAAATAAAAGAACAAAAACAAAAAGAAATCAACTGTCCTGTGAGTTGCGAATTTTGCGAACTCACCGTTCCTCCGACACGACTGGCCGTCCTCCTGAAGCTGAAAACCAACTCTGCAGTGGCATCGATAGCTGCCAGGTAGATTCGTGCAAAGCTGGCCGCACGGTTTTTCCGTCGTGCACTCGTCTACATCTGCAGGACGAAGAAACGAGTAATTAATTTAATCCACTGACAACATATAAGAACGTTACGTTGTCATTTAATTCCAAATCCCGAGATTGGAAACCGATTTTCTTGCCGATCAAAGAAAACAAGAGACATCGTGTTACAGAAGTGTTCCTTAGAAATGAGGCTTCTTGAAGGAATCGGCTCTGAAAGGATGCGCGATCGTTGCGTGTTAAAGCGCGAAGAAGAACATCCGATTGATTCATCGGCCAGAGTGCCTTTTCGTGCCTGGTATCGTCAAACGTAATTAAATCGGCGCGATACGCTTCTCGATAGCATTACGCGAACGTCGGACTAACTGCAACGCAATCCATATTGCGGTATCCTGCATGTCCTGCATCAGCGGACTGCAATCAGACCACACGGTCTTGCGATAAGATTTATGAGCAATTCCGTCGCGAATATTAAAATCACTGTTCTTCGTGTACTCATACGCGATCTCGCGATCGCGGCTTTAAAGTAGTTGGTCCGTCAAACCGTTTTCTTACGAACTCTTTTACATTTTGGCTACATATTGATGGAAAAATTATCAATATATTTATAAAGTTAGAAAACGATGGATCATCCCAAGCTGAAATATTTGCAACTGAAAATGACACTTTTTATACGTGTTCCTTAAGGTTAACGTCCTATTTTTAACTTCTATTTTTAATTTCATCTAAATTACATTTAGCATTTTTATAAAAAAACTACTTTAATCTAACTACTTTAATAAAATATCAAGGACTAATAAAAAGATATTATATAAAAATTTTAGAATTTTTGATCATTTTATTTTAAAGATATAGCCATAGGAAATTTACTATTTATAGGAATACCGGCGATTTATATATAATTAATATAAATAAAGCATTAATAAGAAATATAAAAAATAGATAATATTTCCATGTTTGTAATATTATGTATATAAATTTGTTTTAGTTTCGCGCTCAAGATTGACATTTATTACTCAGATAATTAAATAAAGTTACAGGAGTGTCTTTCTTCAGTAAATAACAAACTTATGAAGGGGCTCTTTCATATTACCACACAAAATCCGATGCTCTATGGTCCATAGAGCACTTTAATGAAAAAATTCCACGCTCGTTCGAAATGCAGACGTGGTACTACCGATCTTTCCTCGATTGTTCTTGATTAGCGTATCTCGTGTCATGGTATTAATTAAAAATTCAATCTTGCTATTGAACTAACTAATCTCGTAATTATGCCGCGAAATAAAGCATAATTTAATAAAGCGTAATCCCGTAATTTTCTCTCGACAGTAACGATGCCAATGTCCTGAATGCTACGTACAACTTGGCCATTCAAATCTCACTTTGTAATTGAAATGAAAATTACCTGTTTGACACTGATTACCGACATATCCCTTGGGACACGTGCATTTGCCGGGCGATGTGCAAATTCCACCGTTCAGACAGGGACACGTAGCTAAAAACCAATTGCAGGTGCGAATCAATCGATTCGCGCACGTGTTACAATTACGAATGACGCCGGAATAATGTTTTGACAATTTGAGAAATTATTGATTAAACTCACGTTTGTTGCAACCGAAACTCAAATGGGAGATTTGCGACCATCCCGGGCAGCAAAAGAAACCGGAGGTCAGCTCGGTGTAACCGAGGATTAACCTAGGGAGACATATACCTTTTATAAAATTTATGAAGTATAAGCTCAACACATCAACATGCGTATATGTGTGTGTGTGACACGAAAAGACTCTTCTTGAGTATTCATAAATCTACACAAAATAAAAAGTGCCAGATTCAAGTAAATAATTACTTCAATACTTCTTAACAAATTTTTACTTGGATTAACCCATTCGAGACGGCGAATTTTTTCGAACACGGTCCCCAGGAGCGAAATTTTTTTTTTCTTTATATTGTTTATTTTTAATAAAAAAAACTTGTTTGCTATAGAAATCACCCAATTCGTAAGTCAATTCGCACAAATAAGATGATTGCACACCGTGTGTGCAGCTCGCTCCTCAGAAAATTTTTATTGCGGGGAGCAGATTGAACACGATGTGTGCAATGTAAAGTAAAATAAAAATACATCATTAAGATTGATAAACATTTATGTCAAAAATAGTTAGATAACATAAAATCGTTATTTTGCTTTCAATAATGAAGAACAGAATATAATGCAAAGAAAATTTTTAAGAAATAGTAAAAAGCCAAAAAAATAAAATTGAGTAATGAAGAAAATAATATAAACGAGGAATAAATTTTTAGAAAAATGTCTAAAGGTAATAAAGTAATGTAACTCAGTAATGAAAAAGAAAATATAATTTGTAAATACATTTTTAGAAAATAGTACACTGATCATAAAGTAATTATACATTGGTTGGTTTATGATAGCGCTTGAAACAGTCTCCCAAACATAATCCAGGACTACCGACACAAGCTGGACAAGAGTAATTACTACGCCTATATTTACCTTTTTTGTAGCATTGTCGGCAAATCTTTCTTTGTACTTTCCTATTTTTATTTCTTGGTAAAATTTCGGGTAAGTGATCATTTGTTTCTGGTGTTGTCGACCTTCTGTCTCGGAGTTAGTTCCAATTACGTTTTTTAAAACCAATGCCAAATTTTGTTTTTCTATACTTCACAGATATTTTTAATTCAAAACAAATCTTATCTCGACGACCACTTCACTCAGAATGAGTGATAATTGCTCTTCATTATCATTGCACACACGGTGTGCAATCGGTCTCGAATGGGTTAAGTAAATTTTACCTGAATTAAATAAATATTTTACTTGAATAATTTACTTGGAAAATATTTTACTTGAACAATTTGAAAATATTTTACTTGGTTCGAGTAAATATTTTACTTCAAGTAATATTTACTCGACCAAGTAAAAATTCGCTACAACGTTTGGGCGTGATTATATTTTACTTGAATTTTTCCGTGTACACAGATGGATGTATAGTGATCCTCAGATGATTTATTCCAAAATAGAACAAATTCGACTATCTATTAATCACGACGAATGTTGTCGATACAGATGTACCTGATTTGTTTTTCTCGGTGATGATGAGAAGTCGCCTGTTGCCTGGTGCACACTCGCCTCCTGGAAAGCAAACGTTAACTTTCAATTCAGGCGGGAAGACAGCTCGCTCCTCGTGAATCAATTATTCGACACACTTTGGGATACAAAACGACTCTACGTAGAGAAATCCGCTCGTGCTATGTAGCTATTCTCAAAGAAGATTAGGATCAAACGGCATATAGTATCGCATTATACGTAGCATCACTCTAATCAACCGCGCCGTGTCCGAATGCAAATGCAAAAAAGGCATCATTCCGGTGGCATTATCGCGGCAGGAAACCCTCCGCGAAAGCCCCGGACCAATCCTGTCTTCGGAGCCCGTCGCTCACTCGCTCGATTTCAGCTTTGCATTTCGTTATCGCCCAGCTTACGCGGGGAAATTAAATCGGCGAGTCGGTTATTCCGATAGTCATCGTCGACGATGCGCGCTTGTGTGTCCCATCGTACCGGCCGAACAGATCGGCGTAGTCATTTGAATCGTAAAGTCGCAGAAGGTCGGTTAAACCGCGAAACACGAAGGTCGGTCGCGAATAGTGCCGGTCGAAATAAGTATTTGCGTTGGCGACGATATTACGGCTTACCGTCGCGGCGGCCGAGCCGGCTTCGGAATTAAGCTTACACGCCGGCAGTCAGTATGAAACTTTGCATTTCTGATTAAGACCGATACCCGGAGAATGAAACAAACAACGCGCGGAGGGCTCTCGGGGGGATTCTGAGGTCGATTCCGCAATCACGTCTGAGAATGTTTTCGAGTCGACGATATACGCGCGCGCGCGCGCGCCTCTCTCGCGGAATACATTCCCATGTTATATACTCGTTCTGCTCGCCGATATGACCGCGACTCAATGCGCATGTGGATAAGACGTTCGGCCCATTGAAATTCCGCGTGCGGCAAAATCCCGCCCGATCGCGAGCGCCGATTGCGCGAAATCGCGCGGCGCGCCTCGTGGAAGCCGAGATGGAAGGCATCTCCCATCATTTATCGTTAGTACCATACGATCCGCCACGTCCACGCCTATGATAACTATGGTACTCCAGACTGATTCACAGTGATTTCCTCGAGCTTTCTCCCGGGACAGGCGCGTAAATCGCCCGCATGCCGTGTTCTTGACTGGCGAAAAATCTCGTGAAACGCGTCGCGCGCGACGGGGGCTCAGATACGGTTCGGAAGACATTCCGCGTGGGAATACTGGTTCGGCTCTGTCGCTCCAGCTTCGCTCCACCCGTCGTCGATACGATTCTTTCTCTCGCTTCCTCTCCTTCTCTCCCTCTCTCTCTCTCTTATTATTTTCCTCAGTTGTAAATGATTCTACAGTTGCAAATGTAACTTTCCGAGTCGAAATTTCACCTCTACATTAAGTCTATTTAGTTCTATATTATCAAGTCTTCAAAGGTCTTTTATATTGTGCTTCCTTTGGTACAACAAATGGAAAGATTTTTCCCGTTTTCTCCACTTGAAGAGTTAATGTGGAACTAAGTAGACTTAATATAGGAATAAAATTTCGGTGCAGGTTAACTTTAAATATTCTTTATATATCTTTAGCTACTTGCAAATGTTACATAAATTACTAAAAAAACATAAGGGGTAATTCATACCTCAAGATTAAAATAAACTATATCCTCCCTTCCTCTCTCTCTCTTTTTCTCCCCCCTCCCCCCTCTTTCTCACTCTCTTTCTCTCTCTCTCTCTCTATCTATCTATCTATCTATCTATCTATATCCACCTATTTATCTCTCTTTTAGATAAGGAAACGCGGTTATTAATTATTAATTAATTAATTTGGTAACAATTAATTTGATTTTCTCATGTTGCTTTTAGTTAAGATGCGACTAATTGTACTTTATAGTTATAATTGAAATTCTATCGTAGGGTTTGTCTGTTTTTTCTTTTCGCACTTACTTTTCTTTTTCAGCGCCAGTCTCAATAACATTCTATTTGATCACTCTTATAATTTGCTTGTTAATATTATATTTATATACTTTGCATATTTTTCAAAATTACATACTGAATCTTTACGTAATTAATGTGCTAAAGGAAATTTTCTCGTAAATAAATGTATAATAATAATAATAATAACAATAATAATAATAATACTATTACATAATATCATACAATTTATACGGTTCGACTCTAGCCCAAACTATGTAATTGTATATTGAAAACTCAAGAAGCTCATCCCAAGATTTAATATACTCTACACCCTTTCTCTTTCTCTCTCTATCTATCTATCTCTATCTTACTCTCACCTTTTGACAAACATAGAAACGAAATCGTCGCGAAAGGTGAGGAACGTGTCCGCGAGCGGCAAGCAACGACGGAGATTTACGACGCGCCGATGATTTATGTCGGCCTCGGGAAATCGTGACTTTCCACGTGAAACTCCTCATCTCGGGCCGCGGCATTTATTCACCAAGTAGTTACCGGACTAGTTTTATGCAGCGTGAGTTAAAGGGTCGTACGTACGCGAGTACTTGGCGAGTGATTGCATCGAAACGCGGAGCGATTGCAATGTCTCTAACGATTTAGAAAATGTTATCCTGACAAGCGAGGAATTAGCATTGCCGCGGAGAGCTGAGCGCTCGTTACGTTAGCGGAGTAATTTAAGACTTTGTAGGTCGAAAGTGATTGCTAATGGCGGACACGTATCTTTCTGTGCTAATAACGGAAATGCAAATGAGAACAACACCGACGACATCGGCGGCCGGTATGGTGGCGTAGGTATTTCTCTGCGTGGAAGAAAATTATCTTGTTTCCGTTGAGATCTCTCAATTACATCAGAGATGTACAGCGAATTATATATCCGCGACATACGTATAAAATTATAGACGCGCATATAATATAAAATCTCGTCGTCGCTTTCGAGAATCGCCGAAGTCGGAGTCGCGTCGAATGCTTCGGACGCGCGGCACGCTGTGAGTAGCCGAGGATGACAGGCGGAAAAAAAGTGGAATGCATAAGGAGACGTAATAAAATCAGGGTCCGCCGGATGCACGAGAGCCTAACTGAGAAGGCGCCGTCGCGTGACGTGGCTTGCAGGGTTCTGGTCCGATAAATCCCGGATGAATTACGTATCGAACGCTCGCATGTCCGCGGTTCTCTCTCAGGCGCTTCCGAAATCTCAGCGGCGATCTCAGGATGATTTCCATTCTTAGTCGCGCCGCACGGAGCGCCCCGAACGCGACGTCGTATTATCGCGGTCGTTTGTTACATTCTTGCGTCCATCTGTTGCTCGTGTAGATTTTCACCGACGACGACGACGGTTTCCTTTACCGCGGCCGTGCCTGCATGCTTAACAAGCCGCATGCCTTCCTCGCGACATTGTTGCGCTTGCATTTTGTGTCTATGCGTCATGCGAGAGAGCAACTTGCAGAAACACTTCCCCATCGAGCCCCGACAAGCAGTGCCCTATTTCGCGCACGCGAAACGACACGTGAAACTTGTCAATTTTCTATCGCCCGTCGCCTGTCATTTTTCCAGTCGCGTTCGTTAACCACGTAGGTCGAAATTGCACCAGGCGCTTTTCCATCATTTAACGGATGGCAACAGTCGGTTTCTCTGAACGAGAGAGAACACGACGATATGATTTCTCGCCGGAAGCTATCCATTAAATTAATAATAAATCCGAGAAGCTCCGGAAAGCAAACAATAAATAGAATGAGATAGAGGGAAAGAGAAAGAGAAAAGCGTTTATTTTTTCCTAGGGTTCTAAAGACTTTATAGTTTTAACTAATATTTAGCAGAGTAAACAAAAAAAAGTGTACGAAATTTAAGAAAATAAAGAAGCCTCTAAAGGTAGATATATATACGCGTTTACATTCATATGTATATCGCGAAGTACAATTAGTAACATGCACATAGTGACAAAGTTAATAAAATTATAGATATAGCGAAGAAAAGAAAAATGATTTTTCAATTTGTAAATTTCGGCAAAACCGGACAAAACCGGACCGACCGTTCGAAAAACCGGACTGTCTGGTTGAAAACCGGACAGGTGGCAACATTGAGTATACAAGTACTGTGCAGAAATTTTAGCTAAACCAAACCAAAAATGTCGTAAAACATGTATTACGCAAAATTTGAATGCAGAAATGTGACAGTTAAGGGATTTACAATAAAAGTCCTATATCATAATTATAATTGTGTACGCTCGGTCATCGTCCGATCATTATATCAGGAGAGAGTTTGCTATAAGATAAGATAAGGAGAGAGAGAGAGAGAGAGAGAGCATAGATTTCCGCAGAAATACATGATACGTCCTGCGGGTCTGGTATGACGGTGAGCGGCAATAAACATCGGCGTTTTATTGCCCGATCTCGTAAACGTTAGCACACCGTTCTTTCTCCCGTCTACAGCGGGCGGAAAACATGGTGCTGTCTAGAAACGCGTTTCTCACAAAGTTTCCAGCTTTGCGCGCGAGTCGAGCGTTTAACGAGATCAAAGTGCGACGATTCCGTTCCTGAATTAGCCGGGTTTCGCGAAAATCGAGTCCGCGAGATCGCGGACCTCGGATTCTTTCGTGCGTCGTATCATCGGCGTCGTTTCATCGTCGAGTCACGTGAGCGTGACAAGAAGGCGATAAATCGGTGATTACGAGGCGACAGGAGACGATTCATGGCACACGATCGTGAGACCGATTCGATCGGAGGAATGAAAAAGCGGACAAGGCTGTCGATTGTAATCGCCCTGGCGGTATAACGATCGTTTGTTTTACAAGCGGTCGCATGTAAAACACGTGGAATCTCGACGGGCGACGGAACAAAGAGAGCGGAGAGCTGAAGTACCACTCATGCTCGGCCGGCAATTTGTTTTTAAGGTTTTCCGACGATCACGGCCATCGGCAGTCGTGCACCACAAGTGGAACTGGATTGATCAAGCGCAGTCCTGGGCACCCTGCTTTTTTCTCTCTCTCTCTTCTCTCTCTTCGTTCCATAGCGTATTAGCCGTTCGGCAAGAAATTGTGTCGCGATAGTTGTGCGTTTTGAAGCAAAGTTATGGAAATCAGGAATGAGAGGGGAGAAAT